CCAGGGCGCTGTTGAGGCACCTGAATTCGCTGAGTGACCAGGACGGGCGCAACGTGATCGCCGACCACTGGGACCAGCTGCGGGAGGTGAATGACCATCCTCGCATGCTTCTGGGGCCTGGGCCGCAGGCTTCTGGAAGCCACAGATCAACACAAGCTGTGGGAACCTCCGCGTCGACGCATGCTGTCGCAAGGCGGCTTCGGCAAGCCCAGCAGGTCTGAGACCGCGGAAGCAGCCCAATGCCACCACGACCCTGGCCATCACCGTCAATGGCACGGCGTAGGCGAGCACCACGAACTTCCTCAAGGACCCTGACACCATGCGGGCCGACCTGGTGATCGGCCAGGAGACCCACCTTCTTGGCGACCTGGGGTGCCGTGCGCAGGAGAACTGGGCTGGGGCGGCCAAGTGGCGGCTCCAATATGACGCCGAGGTATCTACAGGCCGTGGTGGCTCCAGCGGCGGCCTGTTCGTCGCGACGCAGGCCTGGAATGGGGCTGACCATTAACAAGAACATTCGCACGCGGTACACCTTGGCGCAGGGCCGAGTGCAGATCAGGTGCTGGCAACCCTGGCTGTCAGGCGGAGTCGTGGTTGGCAACGTCTACTTGCACGATAGCGAGGGCATGACAGACTGCAGCCGAACGCTGCTCAACATCCTCGTGCGCGAGGCTCACAAGCTGCAGCGGCCGTGCCTGATAGGATGGGGGCTCCAACATGCACCCGGCGGAGCTGGCCAAGTCACGCACGTACACCTTCCCTGGAGCGGAGGTCGTCTGCCCTGCTGAGGCCGCCTCGCTGCTGAACTACTGGCTGGCTGCGACGTGACCCACGCCAGCACCATCAAGGGCCGCAGGCCTGCGGCGCTGAAGCTCAGGAGTGGCGCGCCCGCCAAGCTGGTCACGGTCCAGATCGCGCCGAAGGGCAACCAGCAGGTGATACCCGTTGGGCCATGCAGGGAGGCCGAGGTCGACTGGGAGGATGCGCAAGCTCGGCTGAACGATGCGGCGGTGGCACCTGCATTGTTGGCGGAGGGCCTCACCGACTTCATATGGAATGCCGAAGCTGAGCTGGCGTGCGTGTCCCACCTCGCCCCTGCAGAAGCGCGACGACACGCTGGGCGAGGCGAGCAGTCGATGTTCAAGAAGGTGCACCCGCGCCGCCTGAACGACGCGTCCGTGGCGAAGATCTCAACAGAGGCGCGCCAGGCCAAATGGCGCTATAGGTCGTCGGCTCGACAGAGGCACGCCCGGTCACTGGATTGCGGCGGAGCGGCTTCACAAGATCCTGGCCGAATGGAAGTGCGCTCCCATCAGCGCGGCGGACTGGCAAGACGTTGCATGGCACTGGCCGTGGGTCCGCCGGTTCGCCGCATGGCCGAGAAGGCCAGCGACATCGCCGTCAAGCTGGCGCGCGAGTTCGAGAAGAACTGTGGTCGGTCATTCGGTCATTCGGAACGGCTGGGCCAAAAGGCGACGTAGGACGGAGCGGGGCTGACTTGCAGGTGGACCAAGGGGCCCATCGGCACCATCAACGGCGTGATCATCGATGGGAGGGCGGCGAACATCCAGGAACTGGCCAACGCGTTCCGCGAGGCGTGGCGCAACGCCATCTGGACGGGCCAGGATCCCGCGGCGCCCAAGTCTCGGGACGACGTCAAGAGGCACGAGAGCTGCGGGCACCCTCTCTTGCGGCGCTCCGCAAGGCTGGCAGGAGCTTCAAGGAGAGGACGGCTCTGGGATCGGACCCTCTACACCCCGCGATGGTTCGCCGAGTCGTCGGAGGACGTGCTGGACTCCCTTGGCCGGCTCTTCGTCACCGCGGGCAGGCTTGGCGAACAGCCGCGGCCGCTGGTGGCCATCGTCGCCTGCCTCGCCGAGGACGGCGGCGTCCGCCCGATCGCCCTGCTCGGGTGCTCCTTGAGAGTCTGGGCGAAGGTGCGCAGATCCCCAGGTGCAGAAGAAGGGAAGACGAGCGCGACCTGCCGTGCTTCCACACCGCGGCCGGCCGCGCGGCCGAGCGGGCCGTCTGGGGCCAGGCGCTGTCCCAGGAGTGGGGCTCCGCAGCGGGGGTGAACGCCGCCTCGGCCCAGCTGGACACGACGAGGGCCCGCGGGAGGCGCGGCCGCCAGAAGTGACGAGGCGAGGCCGAGGAGCGCGACGCCCACCTCGTGCTGCTGCGCGTCAGCCTCAACATCTGCTCTGGCAGTCGCAGGTGCAAGCTTGAGGAGGCCCGCTCGGAGCAATTCAATCCAGAATCTGGTGCATCATCCTGGCCAGGTGCGGTTTCGTGACCTCGCTGCTCGAAACTCTTCGTGTTCAGGAGCCTCGACCTCTTCATGAAGCGCTACTGGTGCATCATGCTGTTCGCCTTCGTCGACGACGTCACCATAGTGTGTGTTGTCGGCGCGCAAAGGTGACTGGTCAGGATCTCCGCCCCTGGACTCTCCGACATGATCGAGCTCGCGCAGGCGCTCGGGTCCGAGGCCAGCGGCTCGAAGTCCACCATCGTGGTCAGGGAAAGCCGCGTTTGGAGGTGGATCGCGGACGCCGTGAAGCGGAATGTGGGGCTGCGCGTGCAGGCGGCCAAGCACAACAAGAACTTGGGCGTCGACTCCATGGTCGGGCTGCAGCGGCGCGTGAAAGTCATCAGGGCCAACACCACAAAGCAGAGGTCCAGGCCAGGCCGGGTGAAGTGATTGCGCCGCAGCGGGGCCTAGTCGAGCAGGGGTGGGCCGCGTGGGCCTCCAGCCTGCCATCGCATACGGGACAAGCGTACCAGGGCAACGCGACGCGCAGCTCAAGCAGATGAGGTCCACGGTCAGCGCCGCCATGTTCGCGGATGCGGCCCAGAGGTCGCCCGCGCTGTCGTGCCGGTTGGAGGGCGCCCCGACAGACCCAGCCCACGTGGTCATCAGCATGCCGCTGGTGGAGTGGGCGCGCGCCGTCTGGAACCAGCGGGTCCCGACATCCATCCTCCAGGGTGTGCTGGGCCAGGCCACCAAGGTCCAGGCCAACAAAGCCGCGCCGTGGGCGTCGGTGGTGGGGCCCGCGGGGGCCATGCTCGCCGCCCTCAGGCGCGTCGGATGGCAGGCCACCTCAGCCACGACGTGGATCACCCACGACGGTGTGGAGCTGGACCTGGCGGCGAACATCGCGCCCAGATCGGTCAGTGGGCTCATCCAGTGGCGGTGGCCAGGTGGCAGTTCCAGCGGGCGGCGGCGCGCGTCGGCATGGGGCACCTTCGCGACGGCATCCACATGGTCCCGATCCAGCGGGTCATCAGGCGGGATGTCTCTGATCGATCGTGGTTGGAGGTCAGTGGCCGCCGACGAAGCTCTACGAGGCCGGTCTTGCAGACGACCCCATCTGCATGAAGTGCGGGGAGGCCCCTGGATCTCTTCCACACCGCCACGGCGCTTGTGCGGCCTGGTGGCATGCATCGAGGCCGCGTGCGCTTCCCCAGCGGCGCGCTCAACGCCAGCCAGGGGAAGCTCTGGGGGAGGTGCCTGCTGCCGAATTGGCGGACCAACCTTGCGCCCGAGCGGCACTGGCAGGCAATGTGATCGGTCCCCATCCTGGGCGGGGTCTTCACGAAGGACGGCTTCCTGGACGGCTCATGGATGAACCTCGCGGAGGCCGACGATGCGCGCGTGGGCTTCGGATGCGCCCCGGTTCGGTCGACCACCTCGGGTGTGTGACTGGCGCCTGCCACGGCCCCTCTTCTGGGTGGCTACCAGAAGTTGGTAAAGGTGAGCTCTTCGCGGTCAAGGTTATGATGCACCTGGTCGTCCCTCCTTTCACCATCTACAGCGACTACCAGAACCTGCTGGATGACATCGTACCAGGCTCTGTGGCGTGCTGCTTGGCCACGAATGTTTACGCCGAGCAGTGGAGACGAATCTGGAGGCTCATCATGGACATCGGCAGGGACATATCCACTTCAGGAAGGGGAAAACCCACCAAGCGATCTCCAGGCTGGGCTCCGGCACGGTGGAGAGGCGGCTGGCGCTGGGGAGCAAGGCAGCTGACTCCGAGGCCACCAATGCCGTCTCAGGATCTGGCCGTACGGTGTGGAGCAGCACAAGAGGCAACTCGACACGGGGGGCAAAATGTCGGGCTGGGTCGTGCAAGCAGGAGCGCTGGCCAACACCGAGCTGAGGGACTCTTCAGGGTGCCAGACGCGGACAACGGCGAATAAGCACGAAGACCTAGTCGGCAATGTGAAGGTCCAGTAGAGGAAGGGGCAGGGCCCCCACCCCGACAGCAGCGGCAGCAAGGCCAGAGGAGGAGCAGCGGCATTGGCAGCAGCGGCCATAGTGGCAGAGGCGACAGCTGGTGCAACAGCGGGCGCCAGATCTGGCGATGCAGCGGAGGAGGCCACGGCGCTAACAGCGAGCCGCAAGCGAGGTAGACCGGGTGACCAAGCCCCAGGAGGCGACGGAGCTGGCCCGAGCTCAAGGCGTCGGAAGGGGGCGGAGGCCTCCAGTGTGGTGGAGGCTGCGGCTGAGCGTCGAAAACAAGGCCACAAGCGTCGAGGCGACAAAGCCAGTGCAACTGGTGGACACAGAGTTGCCAGGACCCGAGCGAGTTCGGCGCCCAGTTCGACACCGTGTTCAGGGGGTAGTGCTAGCAAGGCCTTCGAGCCCGACAGCGATGATGACCCGCTCTCCGTGCTGGTGAAGCCGCTGCGCGGAGCTGGGGGCTCAACTTCTTCTGCGAGCCCCAAGGTCGACGCAATCCGTGGGAACCCCCTTTGCCGTCGCAAGCTGTGGGAACTCCAAGGTCGACACAAGCCGTGGGACCCCCCTTGCCGACGCAAGCTGTGGGAACCCCAAGGTCGGCGCAAGCTCCAGGAACCTCCTTGCCGATGCAAGCTATGGGAACCCCAAGGTCGACGCAAGCCGTGGGACCCCCCTTGCCGACGCAAGCTGTGCGGAGCGTCTTGGTCTTCGGTCGAAGCGAGCGGCCAGCAACGAACTCGTCGTCAGACCCGCGCAGGTCCAGAGGCGCCACGACAGGATCGACGGCGGCCCGAGGCGTAGCGGCGGAAGTAGGACCAGGGACTCCGAGGCCCGCCTGGCAGCAAAGAAGGCCGCTACTATCGCTGACGACCGTCGCTCCCGTGACGAGCAGCACGGCAGGCGAGGCGCAGCCAGGCTCCAGCGCGAGGCTGTGCCCCAGCCGTGCATGCCTGATGACGCGGACGGGCGGATCGAGGCGCTCAGGCACCGACCCCAGTGGCTAGGTGAGGCGGCCGAGTGCAAGTACGGGTGCGACCGCTGCAGAGCCAAGGCCAGGACGCCAGAGGACGTGAACGCGGGCTTTTGCAGAGGGCAGCCGCAGGGGGTCGAGGACGCCCACCCGATGCATCAGCTCACGATCATCGGCATGCTGGTGCTCTGCGACGGCTGCGAGGCGGGAAGCGGCGGGGGCCAGACAGTGCTGCTGCGAGAGGAGTGCACAGGAGCTGCGTCGGATAAGAGCTCGCGCACGCGACGGAACGACATGCGAAGAGGCAAAGATCCAGTCATGCTGCAGTTCCTGGGCGACCCCGCCAGAGTGGTCATGGAGGCCGACCCGCTGGATCGAAGCCCCAATGCCGACCTCGGCGCGCGGGCAGTGCACACCGTGGGCAGTGCGCCGGAGGCCAGCCTGGCGGAGGACGGCTGCGACGAGATGGAGGAGCCCCTCGGGAGCGGCGAGGTGCACGACGAGTGCGCCGTGCTGGAGGAGCCCAGCGGAAGCGACGAGCTGGAGCTGCCCAGCCGTGCGCGCGGGGCGCGCGCGGCGGGGCGCCGACGGGCGGCGAGGACACGACGCCGCCCCGTCCGCCAGCCTGCGCGCTCTCCTCCTCTTCTTCGACGTGCTGTTGGGCCGATCTAGCCCGTGGCGTCAGGAACGCGGCCTGCAGACCTGCAGCAAGACCTCGCCATGCAAGATGAGCAAAACAACCCCGACGAGGTCCCAAGCACGGCGGAGGAGGAGGAGGAGGAGGAGGAGGAGGAGGAGGAGGGCACGAAGCTCGGCGGGCAGTTCGATCTGCAGCCTCGCCTATGCTTGCATGCGATGCAATGCGGCCAGTCTCACACCAGCCCGTTGGTCAGCTCCAGCGGCCAGGCCCACGTCCATGCGGTGCTTCTGGATGTGGTAGCACTGGCACATGAGGCCGACCGCGTAGATGCAATCCTTGATGGGACGCTTCGCGTGGTACTGCTCGTCGCCGAAGCCGAGGAGCTCGTGGCCGTTGCCCAGGGAGTCCGCGCCCGCGTCGCCCGCCGTCATCGCCCTGAGGATCGGGCAGGCGATGTAGTGCTCGAGCGCGTCCTCCTCGTCGCAGCCGAAGAGGCATGGACGCGCGTCGATGACGGCGCTCATGCGACGCGATGTCGTCCAGCCGTTGACCGCGGTGCGCATCCACGACCACATCCAAGCAGGGCGGACCTCCGTCAGCTTGCTACGCAGCGGAGGCCACCTCTCGCGCAGCATGGGCAGCGAGCACTCGACGCCCCATCTGCGCAACCGCCGGTGGATGGTGGCCACCAGGTCCTCGGGGTACAGCGAACCACGGAGCGAAGCGGCGACCGCGGCCTGGCGCTTGGGCTTCCTGGCAGGAGTGGCCGCTGCCGCCGACTTCGTCTCCAGGGCCTCGCCGACTTCGCGATCTTGAGGTGCCTGCTCGGGATCGGGACCGAGAGCACGTCGAGCGTCGGCCTGGGAATGTCCAGCTGGCCGTAGGCGTCCGAGATCATGGCGTAGTTCTGCACGATCGTCCTCCGCGTCCGCCACCACGGAGGAGGAGGAGGAGGAGGAGGAGGAGGAGGAGGAGGAGGAGGAGGAGGAGGAGGAGGAGGAGGAGGAGGAGGAGGAGGAGGAGGAGGAGGAGAGAGAAACAGGAGGAGGACAGTGACGCGGAGTGAGAAAAGGCGGGGCACGTGCTGAGCACGCTCTTTGGCCATCGCCTTCCCTGAGATCCGCCGTCGCGACAAAGATGCAACAGCGTGTGAAATCACGCCGACCAGAGCACCAGACTCCGTCCGTCTGTGACACTCCTCGAGCCGGATCGATCTGGGAAGGCCTCGGCCCCGAAGCTGGGCGCAGACGCCCAGCGTGAAACAAACATTGCAACGCCTGGATCTCGGAGTTCGCTCGTCCCCCGTGGCAGCCGCAGACCGTGCCGTCCGCGTCCGCGCCGATCATGCCGTAGACCTCGGGCCACGGGCGCGGGTGCGTGGCTGTCGCGGGGAGGGGCGGCTGGCGGCGGCGGCGCCGCCGCCCGAGGCCGCTGAGAGCCAGCTAGCGGCCACCCAGGACGGGGCCGGGCGGGGGCCACCCAGGATGAGGCCAGGCAGCGACCACCCAGGATGGGTCCTGTGTGAAGGAGGGAAGGATCAGAGAGCCTGGCCCGCGCGAGATCCGTAGGATGAAGGCGATGTTTTTTTTCCTTTGAGGCGAAGAGAATCTCAGTGCCGAGTCAACCGCTGAGTCGATAGGGCATCGGATGAGACAGGGACAACCCAGGATGGGCCCCAGCAGCGACCGCCCGGCATGGCGGCGGGGCCAGGCAGGGGCTACGCCCCCCTCACTGCAAAGAGTGCCGCAGTCCCTGCTGACACCAAGGCCCCACCCAGAGCCGCCCCGCAAAGATCGACGGCGTTGGCGACGCAACTCGCAGCACGCTGCATCGGAGGCTCGATGCGGCAGCGCGCGAGAGGCGCCATGCAAGGCCAGGGGGCCAGGCAGGGGCCGTGGGGCCCCGTGGGCTCAGCTGCCAGGGCTCGTGGGGCTGGTGGTGACGTCGACAAAGAGCCACCGGCGGCATGCAGAGGCAGCGCGGGGGAGCCAACAGATGGAGGCCGGGCAGGAGCCAGTGAGGCTGGGGCTGTGCAGTGGGTGATGGGGCCAGGAAGGGCAGCGGGCGCTGTCGCCACCCAAGGCTGGGGGATCCACGCGGGGGCAGCTGGGGGGGAGCTGGGCACTGGCCAGCAGGGGCTAGAAGCGGCGGGCGGCGCTGGCGGCGCCCAGGGCAAGGCAAGGGCTTGCGAGGGGCTTTTATTTTTGAGGCAGCAACTATACAACCACCATTAACCCTGGCGAGGGTCGTCCGTGGCCCTGGGATGGCGTAAGGCAGTCTCCTGGCCTCGGCCAGGAGGGTCTGTCCTGAGTCCCAGGATCGGCCTGGCCAGGGATGGTGGTTGCGCGTTCGCTGTCTTCACTCTACGGGGCGTGGGGGCTACTTGGTTGCGCCACAACGAAGCACCAAGCTGCCGCACGTCTGTGGATGGATTCGTTTCCCTTCTCCAGCGCTCGTTTGCACGCCCAGGGCTGGAGTAAGATCTCTCGGGCACCGTCTCTCTAATGGCATCAGCGCGCAGCCGCCGCCCAAGACGTGTGGGTCCCTCTGAAACTCTCGAATACTTCGCGGGTCACCTCGGGCGCCCCGCACGCAGAGTTTGGCCGAGTAGGGGGATAGGGCGAGCAGGACGAGGCGAGCGCAGAAAAGGATAATCCTGTCTACCCACAGCACCTTCGAGGAGGAGGAGGAGGAGGAGGAGGAGGAGGAGGAGGAGGAGGAGGAGGAGGAGGAGGAGGAGTAGGAAGAAACGGTGCGAGAAGGGCGGCGAGGCGGAGGAGGACGCTGCCACAGGGACGAACGGTGGGGCCTGCTGTGGCGAATGGTAGTGGGCCACTGCCCGCTGCGCGGGGCCAGGCGGAGCGCGACAGGCCTTTTGAACGGGGGGGGGGCGAGACGGTCGGGCTGGCCCGTGCGGGGCCACGCGGGCGGAGGCGAGCCCGTGGGGGGCCGTGGGGGGAGTGGAGGGGAGCGATCCTGGGCGCGCAGGGGGCCCGAGAGGGGCTGGGCGGAAACGGGCGGTGGCGACGAGAGCTAGGGTGAGAGCGGCGTGGGGATATTTGAGCGACGGAAAGTAGCTGGCCTTACGCACGATGACACAGCGACCTTGCGCGATGGCTTACGCGGGCCGCCAGCGCGGCACGGTGCATTAGAAGCGAGGGCGCATACGCGCAGCCTCACGCAGGCAGCTTACGCGCGAATGTTGGCGCAGACGATCCCGTTTTCTTCTCGCGGGCGTCCAAGAAGGGGGCGTCCAAGAAGGGGTTTGCGAATCATGGCCCAAGGCATGTGCGCGGACGCGGGGGACACCAAGGGACGTGCTGAAATGACAAAGAGGGGGTCATGAGATCCGGGAAGATTACATGGCCCAGGCCTTGAAATCCCCACTAGCCATCACAAAGGAATAAACGGTGTAAACACAAACGTTCGGAGGTCCGCGCGGGTTTCCTGGTTTGGCGCTGGGCTCCACTGGCGGGGATTACATCCTCGACATCACCCTCTCCGGGGTTCTTTGGCATTGCTCTGCATACAGCAGTGGCGCATGCTGTTTTGCACGACCACGCCGACCTACAAGAGACGCAGCTAGAAACTGCGCTTGCGTTGGCCAGCCTAGAGGTCGTGTACGTTCCCCACTTTTCCTCCTCCTCCTCCTCCTGCTCCTCCTCCTCCTCCTCCTCGTCTTCCTCCTCCTCCTCCTCCTTCTTCTCCTCCTCCTCCTTTTTGAGTTGGCCAGGCCTTACGCTTACGCGTGTTGCGTTCTTGAAGTGCTGCAAACAAACAAAGACATGGACGTGCAGATGACTCGGCGCAACTGTACCTGACGGTCGCCGCGGCTAAGGCGGCCAAGGGTTATAGAGAAACACGTAGGTAGAGTAGTAGGCGCCCGCCAGGTAACGCAGCTTGTGCCTTATTGCATGATGCCCAAACAAGTAGACCATGTAACACAAGGAATGCAACTTCTCAGTGGGTACATGCTGCGAGCAGTGCAAGAGTAACAAAGAAATAAAGCGTTCTCTACAACCACATCTAAAGACAGCGTAGGAATCAGCTCATGTGGGGATCCAAGTGTGCAAGGTCAGTGCGGCAGTAGGGTTTAAAAGGTTTACCCCCCAACCTTCAAAGAAGAACGTGCAATCTTTGGGCTTCAAACATGTTTTTCAAATTTACCCCCAACCTTCCAACAACAAAGGGTTGCGATAAGGCCGCGACCCAAAGCTTTGTAGGACAACCCCGAACCTAAATAGAGATCATCATCCGCTACCCCCGCGTCCACATTAATAAACCACCGCCTCCAAGAGTAGGTGGGTGAGGTAAATCGTGAAGTGCGTAATGCAATACAAAAAGGCAATCCTGGGGCCGCTACCCAAAGGTTTTGCAGGGTAGCCCCGAACCTGCATGTGGTACGATACCACCACCGTGTCAAAGAGCCGCGCGGGAAAGGGAGGATACGTGCATTGCAGGTGAGGTGGAAAACAATGCAGCTGATGAGCTGCTAGTGCAGTGGGGCTGGGAACGTGCCGCCATCGATGTGTACCGAAAAAGTGGCCGTCGCCAGAATATTGCTGCCTGGTTGTGCCCGAGGCTGCATATGCAATGCATAGACTTGACTGAGTCTTGCAATAAAGGGATGCTGCTATGCTGCTGTAATTTTGTGTGCTGGAACAAAGTTTTTAAGGTTTACCCCCAACCTCTGATAAAACAGGGCGTGCAAACTTGGGGCTGTGACCCAGAGTTTTGTAGGGTAACCCCGAACCTAAGTAGGTAGTTCCCCCTCCGTTACCACCTCAGTAATTCAACAAAGAGACTACCATCGTGTTATTCGCTGCTTCTAGATAGACGGTCTGAAACAATGTGCATATGGGCTGGCCTTTTGAATCGACTGGCCGTGTGACTGGCCTGTAGTATTACAGGCTGGCCAGAAGCACAGGTCTGGGGTGCGCGAGAGGGGTGCGGAGAAGAAAGGCAGCACAGTGTTGTAAAATTTTGCTGTCCGCACTGAAATCTGTCATTCAGTATCTTTGCATGGGCAGATTGCTCACGCAGAGGCTGTGACAGATTCCTATGACAAGGTGGCGTAGTGTCGCCAAAGTGTTGCTGCCTGGCTGTGTCCGAGGCTGCGTATGCAGTATGGCGTCGCAACTTGCAAAATTCATAGGAATGGACGGTGCGCCTCGGGCGTCCATCAGATTCAGCCGTGCGTGTCTAGCTGCCGGTATAAACAGCAGTACTCTAGGCCTAAAAGAGATGCATCACTATGGCCACGTATGATATAGAAATGCCGCGTGCTGCTGTTACTCTGTGCTGCAGGAGGGTTTTCAAGGTTTACCCCTAACCAGTGAACAAAACGTGCAATGTTTGGGCTGCGACCAAAATTTTGTAGGGTAGCCCTGAACGTAAGTAGAGAGTTCCTCCTCCGGTACCACCACCGCCGCCTCCAAGCGTAGCTGTGTGAGGTAGAGTTTGTGGTGTGTGCAAAGAAAAAGTTAAGTGAGATACGCGTGCGCACAACGGAGGGAGGGGAGGAGGAGGAGAGGAGGAGACAGGGACGGAGGGGAGATATTTTACTCATGGCAGCGTGGCGACGCGCACCTCCGCCCGGGCACGGACCCCGGCGGTCCACGCCCGGCGCGCGTGCGTGGACCCTGACGGCCCACGCGCTCGCGCTCTGGCACGCCTGCGGCCGCACGGCCCAGGCGTCAGGGAGCAAAGCGGGGTGGGTGGGCACCCGCGCGTCGGCCTGAGCCGAACGCTACGGACCCCAAGTGGCTACCTGAGCCCACACCCCCTCCCACTTAACCTGCAGTCTACAAACCAATCAGACGCGTGCACACAACGGAGGGAGGGGAGGAGGAGGAGAGGAGGAGACAGGGACGGAGGGGAGATATTTTACTCATGGCAGCGTGGCGACGCGCACCTCCACCCGGGCACGGACCCCGGCGGTCCACGCCCGGCGCGCGTGCGTGGGCCCTGACGGCCCACGCGCTCGCGCTCTGGCACGCCTGCGGCCGCGCGGCCACGAGAAAGTAAAAGCGCAGCAGCGCGCGCAGGCCGCCCCGCCAGAGGCGCAGGGCGGGGCTCAAGGCCCGGTGAGCCTCGCGCGCGCGGCCACTAGCCTGTATCCTTGAGGCCTTCCGCGCCCCGCGCACCCAGAGCGCGGGCGCGGCGCGTGCGCGAAGAGCGCAAAGTAAGAAAGAAAAACGAAGCGGCGCGTGATGCGCCGGGCGCAGAGCGCAAGTGTGGCCCCGCCCGCGCAGCGCGCAGGAAGAAGGGGGCCGCATAGCGCGCGACGTGCGCGCCATGCTCAGAACAACCTCTCACTCACGGGCCTGGGCCCGTTTGGCGGTCCGCCTCAGTG